TGTGTGTGTGTGTGTGTGTGTGTGTGTGTGTGTGTGTGTGTGTGTGTGTGTGATTTATGGCCAATGATTTATAGACTTCATATTACAGCTCTTTGCTTTGCCTGGTCTCCTTAAGAACACAAACACTGTGTCAAGTAGACCTGCAAAGAAGCATTTAAAAAGTAAATCTCTGTCTTCTGAAGGCTTCGAAGCATCATTAGCAGGAAGATGAGTTTCCCAGCTTTTTGGGATATGAGTGAAAGCAGCCGAAGCAGGTGTTCACAGAGGTAACACAGGAGGGGTTGGAAATTCCTCTTTTCCTGAGAAGCCACAGCATTCATGATTATGGGGCTGCAGAGTCGGCTCAGAGGCTAAAGCACTTGTTGTGAAAGTATGGATACTATAGTTCAGATCTCTAGAACCACATAAATGCCAGGTGGATGTGGCAGCCTGCCCAATGCCAGCACATGGGAGGCTGGGGCAGGGGTCTCCTGGGAAAATTAAATTGGTCCCTAGACTAGCTGAATTGGCAAACTCCAAGTTCATGTAAGAGACCCAATATACCTTACACACACACATGCACACACACGCATACACATGCAAAAAATGCATACTCTCCTGTATTAAAATACAGGGTCAGATATAAGGGGCGGAGGGCCTCCCCTATCAGGAGACTAGGGAAAGGACATAGGGGAAGAAGAGGGAGGGAGGGTAGGACTGGGAGGAGACGAGGGAGGAGGCTACAGCTGGGATACAAAGTGAATAAATTGTAATAAATAAATAAATAAATAAAGAGAAAGAGAGAGAGAGAGATTTTCAGTGCATCCAAACCTCTTCCTTGAGCCTCATAAGACCCGAAGCCCTCTGCTCCACTGTGCGCTGAAATGCATTACTATAGAAATTGCTCGGTTTGCCTCAGCACAAAAAGAAGTCCTTCAGGCCTTGCTCTCACTTACTGGCAATGGCCAGGTTCTTAGAAATAATGCCCAAATGTTTAAGGAACCTCAGGTAAAATAACTAGTGCCTACTGTAAGATTCTCTACTGTCTTGGAATAAATGATTAAGTTGGAGTGGATTTTCAGGAGAGACATGAGGAAAACTAAGAGACTGTATTTGTTAATTTCCTGGGATACAAACTACAGAGATGCAGAGGAGAACTGAAGCCCTTGGGGCATCCTTTACTTTTCTCATAGCCAGAAGCAACATGAGGAATGATGTTGGCTTAGGTTTTCTGAAGCTGCGATGTGCCATGACGGCAGAGCGTGTGGTGGCGGGAGTACGGATCCCCCCCTCACATCGTAGTAGATCAGGAAGCAGAGAGCTCCCGTTGGGGGTGGGATGGGTCTATAGTCCTCACGGTCTGCCCTGAGTGGCCTACATCAGCCAGCATAGCCCAGTCTCAAATGTAATCGTTTGAGGGAATGGAGCGACGATTCAGACGTTAAGGGCACTAGCTGCTCTTGCAGAGAGCCATAATTAGATACTCAACACCTGCATGAAGCATCTAAAGACTGCTTGCAATGC